ATGACAGCAGCACCACCGCATTCACATCTTGATCAGGCAAGTACGACGGGCGCGATCGAGAACGGCAATTTATGGTTATTGGTCTCCGCACCCTCTTCGTCTCCAACGTGGTACTGAACATCTTCCTATCGCCGCAGACAATTTGGGTGGGAAGAACACCCAACAGACGGTGAGCGTCTTCCTCTCCGCAATATCCGCCGTGTTGGCTGTTGTGATAGATAACAATGAGCGAGGGGTCACGATGCGGGGTCCACGGGAAATCCTCTTCACCGCTTCCACAACCAATGTTTTATCAAAAACGCTTTGATGTGCAAACGAAGAGCGCAAGCGCTGCAGAGATGATTGCTATGTGACCTACAAATTGACTTCTTGGTGGATCTCACAAATGCATCATCATGCTGACACATGTCAGCCCAGATCTATTGTCGCATCAGTCGAGCGATTCTAGACAGCGATATGCATCGGCAAAGGTAAGCTCAATGTGATGGAGGGCCGAAAATCGACGGGGTTGTTTCCCATCTACCCACCGTCGCAACCCCGCGATCTAGGTTCAGGCACACAGTGGTGTGACGATAGCCTCGTTTACACCTTTCTGCATCTCGATATTATTGCAACAAGGAAGCAGCGGGACAAATCCACGGCCCGATGGCAGATCCCGTAGACGAGTACCACCTCAGATGTTGGATCTTTGTACTTCGGATGATCTCTGGTTTGTCTGCAAGAATAGCAATGGAACCCGCTGACACGAAGGCCACACGACTCTACAAACACAAAGGCGAAAGTAACCGCCATATCCGCAGCTGTCAGATCCGCCTTGACGCTGCGCGACCTAGGTAGTGCTGACGAACCGCCAAGACGCAACACCAAATCTGGAGACTTGTACATGGTACACTTACTCTCCGAATTATGTATTTACGTACAGTACCAGGAATGGCACACCCCGAGAATTGTACATGGCACACACCCAAGGTGTGCATTCTATAGATGGTCCTAAAAGTGTGAGTACCACATGGATACGAAGAGTGTGCGAGCGACCTCTGGGTCGTGGTTGCCATCAATCTTCATCCTGGGGTAATCATTTCTTCATCTTCTCGAAGCTCATATGAGGATCATCGCCGACCTCGAGCGAACGTCTCACCTCAATCGTACAATTTAATGAAAGTACCGTCATTGATTCTGCACATGTACGAGTGTCACATTAACAACAACCTAGACAGATTATGGTTCAATAGTCATTTTTCTCTTCGCTGCGCGGCAGCATATGCAGGATATATTGCATCAACAAGTGTGTTCTTGGGGCCTTTCAAGGCAACTCATCTGCGCCAGAGAGGCGCTGGATAAATTCGGCGATCGGCCACAGAGGAAAATAGGAATTCCCACTGCACGCAAACCGCGCGTTGCACAAACGCAACACTGCATACTGGGTTCCGTCAGGTCATGTGGATGATTAGCCTGTCATTCGTTTGCAAGCCTCTTCTTGTGTGCTGCACCACCAGTGGGTGACACAATTCTCTGCGCACCCAGGAACTTCGAAAGCGGATAACTCAGCGTCACAGCTAAATATCGTATTTCTGTTAACATAGGCTTATTTGCGAGGCTTAAAACTACGACCCGATCAAAAAATTAAAAAGTTTGGATATTGTTTCGTTGTTAAAACCTTACTTAGAGTTTCTGGCTGCGCAGAGAGTTATGTCACCCCCTGGTGCACCACGTCAGTTTGGGTCATTAGTCTTGACTGTAATAAGACATCTCCAAATCGCGCAGAGGAAATGGCAGGTCGGAGTCCACCGACGGATAAATAGGAAACACAATGGGGGAAGTTCGGCTGGAAGTCCAACTCAATCCCAGATGGAAAACTGTTGATCATTTTCAAGAAATGTTTACAGCACTGTTGTAGTGTGTTGAAGGTTCAATTACTTCCAGAATTGACCGTCGATTTCCTAAAGAAAGCAGTTATCTATAACACCTCAGCGATAACTCACATTATTCCTTCGCTCTCTGCGCTTAAGGAAACTTCATCAAAACTTTACACTGCCTATCAACAAACCTCCCGTCGATGCACGGTAAGCTCAAGATGCGGGGATATTGACTGGGATGCCTGCTAATTGTTGGGATTAGTTTGGATATTCTGTGTGTTTGATGTATCTTTCCGTACCGCTGCGTTAGCCTTACGTCTGAGATCATAGTAGAAGCAGCGGCAGTTTCGAGAATTTCTGGTCTATCGACGTGCTGGGCGTTATCTGGGAGAGCTCGGGGTGTTGAATCCAGCGCAGTCGCTGATTGATGATTACAACTCCAACAGGTAAGAAAATCTCTTCTTTTCCTTCCGTTGAATCTCGGGTACATACATGTATACATGCATACGTGTTCTCTCTCTATCCTATTCTTTCCTCGCATACCGAGTGTTGGTGTGCGGGCGGTCACGGTTTTCCCTCTCTTTTGTTGGTTTGGCAATGTGTTTGGGGCGGGGTGTTGGTGAGGAGACCTTTCTTCGTGCTGGTGTGAGGGAGGGGTAGGATTCCCGTTTGTGGTGGGTAGAGGGGGTGTTGTGTATGCACCTAGATCTTAAGAGGGAAGTTTCCCTCTTCCTCAGATGAGGAGAAGGTTGGATCGTGGATTTGTACGTTGAAGAACTTTGTTCAGATAGATTGGCTTGGGATGCGATGGAGGGAAGGGTAGTGTAGATGTTGGCTGCCGGGCGAGAGTCTGCGTTTGCCTTCCGGGAAAAGTGTTGGATGGAGCGCTTGTGTATGCAACGGCCCCCAGAAGGGATAAGATTGGTAAGTCGTTGGTTTGCAGGAAACTGATCAACAAGCGATGGACCGGAACGAAGTTCCAAAGGTGGGTGTTGGTATGTATATTCTGGACTTGTCGGCTAGCTTCTGGGTTCCTGCGCCGTTAGAGACACTCCTGCTCGCAGAGCATCAATGACGCAAAACTCATTAATCTAATGGAGACAGGATAAACCCAGGTCACAGAGCACAGTCTGAGCTTACTCTAAAAGCACAGCAATTGTATCTGTAAGTTTGTACGGGTGTCAGACAGTGGTACTCATCTGCTTATCTTTGTACCGCTTGTATCTCGGTAAGTCACAGGGCTGAATTCCAGAATTTCTGTTTACGAGGTTGGGGGTTTGGTTGGTTAGGATTTGAGTTTCAGCTTACTGGGAGTGAGCTTGTACCTTCTCGCCTTACTTTACGGCGAACTCGTCATTTTATTGCAGAGTATGCTTTCAGTATACTCGAGTATCTTTGTTTCTTAGCGCTGATGTTCTCATCTATCGATATTGACGTCAGGAATTTTTGCAGCCCGCATGAAATCCACCGACTAGAGGAAAACATAATGCATGGATCAAGCAAAGTACCATGCACCCACTCCTAGATTTATAAGGCAAGGAGTGGGGTAGGGAAATAAGTTAAGTAAATGGAGTTGAGAACTGTGACTATGAGTTCTGTTTGGTATTCTTGAAGGTGGTGAGTAGCTCGGAAAGAGTTGTTGACAATAATAAACTGTTTAAGATTTAATGTCCTCATCAGCCTGTCTATGATGATCAACAAATTGATAGAAAAACAAAAGGCGTATAAAAACAAAAGGCGAATTGAGAGATATATAAACTAACTACAGTTTCACACATGAAAGCGGGCATCTCAGATAATTGATCAGCTAAGGAGAATTAAGAGGATAGAAGTATAAATGTGGGAGTGGGTTGTGAGACCAGGAGTCGTGGTTTTTGTTTGTGGGGGAGGGGAAAGTATTAAATGGATTATCAAGGAATGGTGTATAAGGGTTTGGAGATGATTGGTTTCGAGAGAGGGAAAGAAAGAGGAATTATCGCTTTGTAATGCGTGGTCATATAATGCAAAAACAGAACCTAAACAATCTTCAGCTCTATTATGATTGTGATGAAATCCTCTCCATGTGTTTCTACTGTATTTCCCCCAAGGCCAGGTTATAGACTGAACTCAGACGTCCACGTAAACCCTAAGAAGCAGAACAGAGCATCCAGAACGAACGGTGTATCTATTCTGATAACCCGATACCCAGCCAGGTATACTCGGGTATAGTACCTTACCAATTATTTTGGCCCTATGTAGGTACCAAAGCCGATTGAACAAGGGAGGTATGTTGATATACTATACCGGATGCGGAACACTGATAGCTCCAGTGTTGTCCTCGCTGGTATTAGATTTGGCCAGTATAATAACACCAGGACAAGCCCAATGGAATATGTGCTTAACGAGCCAAAAACAAGGGACACAGAAAACAAGAATGCAAGGAATCTTCCTATCACCGCATTGTGGGCAACGTCGTAGGAATGGTATAACAAATGTGCAAATGTCGTCTTCTGCCTATTTTAGTAATTACAAACCCTTTTATAGAGTTCTGATATTACGAAAGAAGACCCTTTTGAATCAAGAGAATAAGTAGCATCCTAAAATTCGATTGACAATACACACCAATATCTTTTCTCTCCGTTAGCATGTGGGGTTGTAGGCGATTATAATACTCAATACATTTAACTTTATATCAATTGGGTGACTAGTTATTCCACTCATTAACCAAGAGATTTCCGTCTCTGACCCGTCTTCATAGCCAAGATCATAATACAATCAGCCAGTTTGAATCATATCGGATAAAGCTCTGTGAAGCTATCTTCAAAATTCAACACTGGTATATTTCGTTACAAGCATTACAATAGGACATGAGTAATTTCACTTTCAAAAAATTCGTATTCGCTAAAACCACTACAATCCAAGCCTACACTAGCGTTTATGAGTAGGCCAAAACGACCATCGCTATTAAAGCCATACAATCAAACCTAACCCAAGACCAAACCAGCCCTCGCTATCAAACCACCTGATCCAACGCAACCCAAAACCAAGCACCCAACACCCTCTACCAACGCCCCCAACATCTATCCTTCGCAATATGCGATATTCAAATCCCGTGCCCCCTCCAAAAACATACCCCACCCTCAATCCTCAACCGCCCACCCCAACTTATTCCCCCAAGGTGGTAAAAGTCGCAAAATAAGTGCCATCCGCGTCCTCGTCCGCCGTTTCTGCATTCTCATCGTCGGTATCAGAGGGAGTAGACAGGTCGATCCAGTGATCCATATTCTCAGCTTGGTCTACTTCGTTGGAGACTTTCCAGAAGGCCGTTGGGCCGGCGGGACCTTGTTGGTTGTCCATGTCGCTGTGGAGGAGTTAGTGAGGAGGAATGAGTGAAGGGGAGATATAGAGGGGTTACCGATCAAACCAATGTCCTAATACACCGCGTGCTGAACGGATACCGCCGATTTGGATTCCTTCGCTTTTCCAACGTTCCTCGCTGTGGCGTATGTTAGCACTATTTCTCTTTCATAACCTGGGTAAGAATATGTACCCATTGTAAACACTAATAGTAGTCCACCTAACCTCTCCTTCCTTAGTCATCTGCACAGTTCCCCTAATATTGCTATTTGCATTCGGGTCATGGGGACTGTGTAGACTCCTCGAGATTCCCTTAAACTGCACCTTGGGTAGTGGTTGCTTTGGATCTGTTGAGGGGATGATCTTGACTACTTCGAGTTCCATGATTATGAGGCGGATAGCTTCTGTCGCGTGTAACGGTGGTCGAGGGACATCCGCAGGAAGGACATCTTCCGGTTCGTCTTCGAAGTTATAGTAGAATAGTTCGTGGTAATCTAGGAAAGTGACAATCTGTGTAATTGATCAGTGTTGGTTAAGTGAGGACAGTTACGAAACCTACACGCATCCATGACCCGGTGATATTATAGGGATCTGACTCGTTCACCGGTGGTGTTGGGCTCTTGGTGTCAACCAGACAAACCGACCGAAAACTATCGGGTTGAGATCCCGCCCAAGGAGTAGTCCACAGTGGCTTCAAACGACGGCCTGTCTGATCATCGAAACATTTCAGATTGTGCCCAAGAATTATCATAATAGCTTCGACTTTCTCCCAGTCTACTGTTGCTTCCCCATCGGGCTTGAATGGTCCCCAAAGCGAAAGATCTGTATAATTGCGCATATCATAGACAACGGACAAGGCGTAGTGATAAGGGCGCCGATATAGTTTTGGGGACAACGTCACGGGTACTCCGTAATAACAATGAAGTTTTGCGCTTGCCTGGCGTTCATCTTCACTGTACATAACCGCTGGGGTCAAAAAGCCAGACGCGGTGGGAAGCATTGATCTGCAAAAGAGCGTTGAGCTGCCGAGATATCTTTCGATGTTTCTCATCCCATAGCGGGAGGTAGGGTCGAATGCTTTTTGAAGGAATGATAAGTTGGCAGAAGAATCGGAGTTTGAAGAAGCGTGGTAAATTAGATCAACAGTTTTCGCAGTGGCTAGGAGCTGTTGTTCTTTGTCCTGTTCTTTCACTTAGAACATGGCCACATGTCGGATTCCATACACTTACATTAGGTTTTACAGCGGGCATTCGCCATGAGCAACTTTCAATTCTAGTCCCTTCTCCATAGATATCCCTTAATGCTATCAAATCTTTGAGCTTCCTTTCCCAGTTCCAAGTCTTCGGTTTGAATGCCGTTGGTGGATTATCCTATTTTGGTTAGAATTATTTCGGACACAGAAGTTTCAGAATTCCTGGTCTCAAGGGAAGCAGGGTGAAAGATCATTCGAAGCTTAAGAAAACTTCCCAAGAGAAATGTATCTTGTGCCACCGTTCCTCTTATTGTAGCCCGTCAGGCCACCTCCTAGACATGCCCATTCGTTTTCCACGTGCAGTTTTGAATCTCTTTGATTGGCACACTTACCAACAGACCCCTTAAGTTATACTCATATACAACTGGATTCCCTTTGCAGAGCTCTCGAAACAGCTTACAGCTCGCCCTTATGGCTAGAAGATCTTCCGGTTCGACAAAGCGCATGATATGAACCAGAAGCTCAACCGGTAGATTTAGCAACGCCGGCCGAGCCATTTTCAAGTTCAATGGCTGTAATATAATAATGTAATAATAATGTGATGTTTGTCGAGGATAATCCTGTCTTACAGGAAGGAACAACAGGTGAGTAGTGAGGTTGATGACGAGCAGTCCGAGGTCCAGCCCGTATCGCTGTCGTTATCGTTAACTCCGCAATCGCCGACCCCGCTTCCCCACTACTCCGAAGCATGAACTAAGTGCTGGGCGCCTCTATAAACATCTTCGAGAAATTCGGGATATTATATCTATTGAAATTTCCTTCTGTAGGAAATCCTAAAAGAATCAGTAATGCTTCGTATGCTTGAATAAACAATAGCACCGGCTGGTTCAAGCTTTTCCACCTTGAAGATCTAAGAGGGGTTTAAGCGAGGTGACCGAAATAATCTACATCTCTGCAATCAGAACGCTTTTCATTTGATTGCTACCATTACCCCTAGGTGTAGTGTTCTCAATGATGACCTGATTATTCGTGTGCTCTGCTAAACAAATTTAGAACACTGAAACACCTTGATGATCAGTCCTTTCGCTGAGTAGGTACCTTTAAAAAGATGAATCACAAACTCAGGTAGCTACTTCCTGCGATATTTCAACATAATACAATCCATCATGCAACTGTCTCGGAAAATACCTAGGTATCTTTGATATTTTGCTTATCATTCCTCAGAAATAACTTTCTGAATCGTGTTACATGGAAAGATTGTATCGTACGTTCCGGCTTTTACCCAGCTCGGTATTGATGCACAAGCTGCCAAATACGAAATGTATTTGAAATACTTCATCCCTGCCACCGATTAATTACAACCAGTCATAGAAAAATAAATATCGAAACCAGACGAAATCATATCTAGTTAAACTTGTCGTAATCTCCAACTATATTCCACCTGTGGAGAAAAGTGCATTACATCATGCCGCAGAACCGGGGCTACTGCAGGTACGTCGGTATATATATCTGCTTCAACTCCCGTCATGAGCCCCTCACTTCACCAGTTACACCAAAGTCAACAAACAAACAAAAGAAATTGAAGCAATTGAATTGACAATGTCTCAAGATCTCAAACCACTCCTTCTTCATGCCCATCTCGGGGGTCCAAACCCGTTCAAGGTGGCCATTGCACTCGAGGCATTGGGCTTGCCATATACAGTCAAGCTCTGGGAGTTCGGTGATGGACCAGGTGGAGTGAAGAGCGCTGAATTCTTGGATATCAATGAGAACGGGTAAGCTTTCATAGACGATATCATATTGACGTGAACGAAATCAATTAACATCCTCCAGTCGTGTCCCAGCTCTCGAGGATCCAAACACCAAAACCGTATCTTGGGAATCCGCAGCAATCCTCACCTACATCCTCCACACCTACGACCGCGAGCACAAATACCATCCCTCCCGTCACCCACACCAAACTGAATCCGCAGTCCCAGCCGTCACGCGTGATCCCCAAGCTCTCATCGACTTCGACAAATGGACTGCTTTCCTCATCTCCACCCTCGGTCCAATGCAAGGTCAATTGAACTGGTATGTCCATTACAACAAGGAAAAGAACGAGGATGCACGTCAACGATATGAGACTCAAACTTACCGCTGCTACGATCTTCTCGAGGGTCAATTGAAGAAGACGGATGGGAAGAGTATTCTCAAAGAGGGTTACTCGGCTGTCGACTGGCACTTTTATCCTTGGGTTATGAGTTATGCGTTTGGTGGGTTGTCGGTTGACAAGTATCCTAACATTCAGAAGTGGTTGAAGACTATTGAGGCGAAGAGGGAGGTTAAGCAGGCTTACGAGAAGATCCCAAAGGCGAAGGAGAATTGAGTTGGGAAACCGAAGCTGAGTCAAACCGGAAATGTATTCTATTAATTGCAATTGAAACTTGCTACACTTGTAAATGTATGTCAGAGAGGGTGATGAGAGATGTGCAGTCTTTATTTCGCCAACACACTTGCGTCGCTCTGTAAAATATTAATCCAATATTGCCTATAACTGTACATGGCTGTTCGAGAACTTTCAAATGAGGCATTTCTCTTCAAGTGTAGGAGATTCAGTGTTTCTCGATTACAAAACTGCCATTTATTACATTTGAATAAAACCCGACATGGGCAACGGCGTTCCGCCAATCGAGTACGATCAAATCCTTAAAGCATACCTTGTGACCCAACACAACACTTTAGATGCACACGCGATCAGAAGACAACACTATTTCACATCATACACGATCTTTACTATCATCTTCAACACAGATTTAGCATAAACATGCTAGCGAATTTCAATCATAGAATCCCTCCTCACCCACTCCCCCAACTTCCTTCAATATCCTTCTTATCACCAAACACCCTCTCTTCGCACCTTCCCTTCTTCAATACCGCTCTTCATACCAGGAATCAATCTAATCTTCATCACACCTCACCAATCCACCGAATCATCTCACAACCCAAACATATTTCCATGTCCATTTTTACCGCTCACCCAAACACCCACAAATACAAACATAAAGCAAGTCATGTCTACCCTCCCCCCCACCAACCCCCTCCAAAAACACCATCTCCTCTTGCCCCCCTCTCCGTAGAAGAAATAGTCCCATACCCCGGCGCAGACTACGAGCGAGAATGGATCTTCCCTCCACCTTCAGGAGGGAATCTTTGTACGTATCCCCTCCTCGCCTTCCCTTCCCCGAGTTAATCAACAAATATGTATTGAATAGCGGTTAGCTGACAAGACTGCAATAGTAACAACTTCCCCCTCACCTCCAACATCCAAAAAAGAGCATTCACACCTCCCCACGCCCCCCGCCGAGTCCAAACCACCAGAGCGTCCCTCGGAGAGTATACCGAGTCTAACAACGCGCTGGCACATCCTCTCCCATAAATCACGTCTCCTCTCCCTAAAAATAGCACACTGGAGTATCAAATCCCGCGCTTTGAAAGCCGAAATATCCCTCACTTCGAATGCAACCACACTCTCATACCCAAAACCAAACCCAGCCATGCCCAACTCCCACAAACGCTCAACCACTGACTCCGACACTCTCTCCAACTCCGACCAGGATATACTCACCCCCCTCCTCAACAAACTCTGCGAATGCACCCCAGTCTCCCAAGCTATCTCCAGACACAAACGCCTCACCGAAGAAACGATCCTCAGACACAAACGTCTCGCCGAAGAAGAAAGTCGCTTGAAATGGGAGAGGGATGTTCATCATGAGCGATTACGGTTGTTGAAGGAGGAAAGTGAGCGGTTGTGGAGGGGGGTGAGGAAGATGGAGGAGGAGGAGGAGCGGGTGAGGATTGTTAGCGAAATGGAAAAGAGGAAAGGGGATGGGGGAGGGAAGAGGGTGGCGAGCGGGAGTGGAAGGAGGGTGGGTAGTGAGGGGAGTTTTGTGTGGAATGGGGAGGAGTATGAGTTGTGAGTCGGAGGAGGGTTGTGGGTTACGAGAGATGGGAGAGGAGTTTTGGGTATTGGGTGTTGGTTATGAAATTGGGTGTATTCTTCTGTTGGGTTGGGAATGAGAAGTGATACACATAGAAACATGAATACACAGCATAAAGTGCGGCGGTTCGGAAGAATCGGATAGAGTAATCAGGAAAGGAATTGGAATATCAGGCTACCAACAGTACATAGAAACAACTTACGATTCTTCACGAGAAAGACTGACAGAGTCGAAGAGATGAGTAACGTACATTTATTAGAAAATAAATGGTCTGACAGTACAAACTTTTGGCCTAAAAATATCACTTTTCCCTCCCTAACACCTTTTACCCAGTGTAAACGAATGAAATTAATTAACTCTGAACATGATATGGTCAGCTCTCACGGAACGATATAAGACTTCAGCTTTCTGTTACACGTTAGTGTACTGCAATAAGAAGCGGGGCTATTGACTTCAAATAATTACATTTAAGGACGTGACTTTTGGATCTTTGGTACAGCAGGTACGACTTGTTGATTTGAACTTGGCTTTCTTGTTGCTAGGCTGGCGAGTGATAGGCGCAGTTATA